GTGCTTTAACCCGCTGCGCCACCAGGGAGGACCCTAAATTGCTGCATGTTGTTCTGCACACAAGAGCGTGGCATTCCTATAGTCATGCTAGAAGGTACCGAGAATGGCATTACCCACTCCGGCGGTTCTCGGCAATTTGGAGCCACGGAGAAGTAGCTGACTTCTTGATGGTAACCCGTTGTTTTGCCGCTCCTCAGTCAGAGCTACGTTGGGGTGACCTAGGGAGAGGGGTGCTTTGCTCAGACAAGGCAGTGCAGGAAGCGCTGTGGGGCGCTCCCCGGTCTGCTTTGTGGGTTAGCCCCTCCACAAACTCCTGAGCCTGTCTCCCCACCTGTCACCTGGTTAGCAGATGACACTGGGCGCGTCTGCTGAGTTACAGCAGTGGGGTTGCCCTGTGAGACGAGACGGTAGAGGTCTATGACCAAACAAATGCTCTCTGGGCTGGAAGGCGCCGACATGACCACGTGACGGTGCTAGGACTTTGGTGGCGGGTGAGCGAGGCAGGTACATAGGTTGGGGTGTGAAGCTGCTTTCCCCGACTTACATAGTTTACGAGCAGATGATAATTAACACACTTTGATTTAAAAAAAAAAAAAAGCCGAAGTTTTCCGTTTAGTAAATCTCAAAGGGGGAAGATGTGCATTCTGGATCATCCAAAGAAACGTGCTGTCTAGTAGGTGGCCCCAGGCCCGTACCCTGCTAGCAGTAGGAGCCACGGGGCTGGCAGCCTGGAGGTGGTCCCGCATGCCAGCAAGGCGGGGTCCTACTGGGGTTGCCTCTCTGGGGATCCTCCCGCATCTCTGCATCTCTATTCCTGAGCGGGAGGCTTCCCGGTGGGGAGCTCTGGTGGCAGGTGCTGTTTGTGTCCCCAACACAGCTTCCTCTTCTCCCTGGCCCTGCTAAACTACATTTCCCATCCTCCTTTGCAGCCCAGTGTTCTCATGTGGCTGGATTCTGCTCGATGGCATGTGAGCCGAGGTGACACTGAGTAGGTCAGTGGGCTGACCTCTGTGGTCTTCTCTCCCCCACCTGTGAAATGAATGGGGCAGTCTCTTCCAAAGTGAGGAAACTTCTAGATCCCTGCAAATCACTCCCCAGCCTGCTGGAGGGCCAGTTTGTCCCATTTGCACCTTCTACTGTGTAGCCCACACTTCCCAGCTTCTCGGTCCCTGGCCCCTGCTGCAGGACACTGAGGTTCCGAGAGGGCAGTTTGCTTGCCATGGTCACACAGCAAGGTGGGGCCCGGTTCAAGTAGCCACTTTCTCCTCCTCCGTCGGACTTCAGCTTTTCCAAGTGGGACTGTTTATTTTTTCTATAGTAATACTATCTGTATTACTACAAAAAGTATGTGCTTATAGTATGTGTATACATATATGTATATACTCATGTATATATATGTACTGAGGACATCATTTTAATGAATACATAAAATATATTCCAAGAGTGAGTGCCAAATGATATTGATCATCCCTATTTATTGGCTACGTAGGTTGTTTTTACTTTCCCCTTTCCTAAATAAATCCCAGTGACATCTTTGTGCCCCACCTTGTTAGATGACCTTCTTCCTGGAACAAGTTTCCATTGGTAGAAAGGCTGGGTCTGAAGCTGTGCTTTTTTTTTTTTTTTTTTAAAGATTTATTTATTTATGCATACAGAACTGGGGAACAGGCCAGAGTTGCAGCGGTAGTGAGAGGATTCACCAGGGTCAGGAGAGGTCTGTCTGTCGTACCATGTGCATCACCCCCCTGGCCAGGGTTCGAACTCATACAGAGGTGTTGTTGACAGCTTTGCAGTGCTGTGCTTTAACCCATTGCACCACCAAGGGGGGCCCTGAAGATGTGTTTTTAAGAGCTGTAATAGTTGCCATCAAATTTGATGTCACTTTCATGAACTCCAATCAGATGTGTGGTTGACAGTGATGCTGAGGACCCAGGCTCCACCCACACCACGGTCCCACCCACCACCAGATTCTTGGAGACTGCTCCACAGGTGAGGGAGAGAAGACCACAGAGGTCACAAGTGAGGGAGAGAAGACCACAGAGGTCAGCCCACTGACCTCCTCCGAGTCACTTCTGGTCACATGCCACTGGGCAGAATCCAGTCACATGAGAACACTGGGCTGCAAAGGAGGATGGGAAATGTAGTCTAGCAGGGCCAGGGAGAAGAGGGAACTGTGTTGGGGACACAGACAGCACCTGCCACCAGAGCTCCCCACCAGGAAGCCTCCCGATCAGGGGCTATCTGCGAGGCTCCCAATAGGGCTCCCTTGCAGCATCTGTCTGTGCCTCCATCCTCCAGCCCTCCCCAGGGACTGTGAGCCCCCAGGCTCTGTGCTCTGGCCATCCTGACCCCCAGTACAGGCTTCATGAATACCGATGGAAGAGATCCACTTACTATAGTCCTATAATGATAAGTGGTTAAACAAAATGCACTTCTCCCAAGACTCCTGGAGGGATGGAGAGGCTGAAATCCTGCTGCAAGGCTTTTGTCGAAGTTTCCAAGATAGTGACTCTGGGAGAAGGCTCTTTTCATGGTCATCTTTGCCGTTCCTGTATTGTGTGAATTTCTTTCTTGGGACATCTGAGACAAGACTCCATTTCGTCCAGAGTCCACACCAGTAGAGCAATTATCCTCTCTATTTAGTGACAGCCATCCCTCCCTCTTCTGCCTACAAAATAACTCAACCCTGAATCTCCACTTGTGTCCAGATCCATCTCTCCAGAATCCAGGACTCTGGACTTCCCCAGTGACTGTTAACCTCTAGTATTTTATGGGTGGGTGCTTGGGTTGGGGGGGATACTCCTAGCTGGGGCGGGAATTTGGGATAAAGGGCTCTTGGAACAAGCACTGGGCGCCTGCTGCTCCCTGAAGGGGGCTGGCAGCTGCTCACCCATCAGAGCGCCCAGGGTGGAATAATGATCACCGGAGTAAATACTGTCCGTTGCTGGCCGTGAGCTTGTGGGTCCCCAGAGTCTGATGCCTGGGCTGGGGCTGGGGTCACTGAGCCTCGGTGTGGAAGGATGGGCCTTGTCCATGGGCAGGGCCGCAAGAGGGCAGCTGTGAGTGGGGCATTAGAGAGCCAGTGCCTGGGCTGAGCCCAGGGGCCCTTGGGGTTTAGGAGCAGCACCCCAGAACTGCCTCTTCCCACCCACGTGGGGAAGGTTAGCATCTCTTACCAGCCAGGGGCCTGCGCCACGGCTGTCCTCACGTGGCAGCAGGACAGGCAGGGTCTGTACTGTTTCTCTTGGATGAAGGACTTGAACTGACAGGAGGCCTCATTGGACTCATCCTTCAGCCCGGGGTTGGGTGTTCAGTTTGCGGCGGCCTCCGCACTGAGACGCTTCTTCTCTGGGCTCCCGCCAACTTCAGACAAACCTTAGCCCCTGGATGTATCTTAGCCTCTGTAAGCCCAAGTCTGGCACTTTCTTTGCATTCTGAATCTGTGTGCCTCTGTGATCCGTGTTATTCTAGACAGGTGAGTTCGTTTCTCTGCGCCTGTTTCTTTACCCAAGGAGTGGGTGAACGATGATGATTCTTCAGGCAAAGGGCAGCTGGCACACTTTAAGTCAGATTCCACTCAAGGAACAATTAACCTCCCTGCCCCACCTATCTCTCCCGTGGCCTTTAAGTCTGTCTGAGGCTTTCTGCAGGGTACTGCAGTGACTGCGTCCTTTGTCCAAGGTCAGCCGGGATCTTGCAAAGCTGCCCAGCTGCTGATGTCCAGAGGGGGGCGGAGATCACCCCAGGGTAGAGGGCCAGGACGGCACCTGCAGGTTGTAGGGACATGTCACCTGCTATCCCTAGGGAGGGAACTTATGAATATTCACAAAAGCTGGAGCGTGAGGGAGCCAGCCAGCCTGCTGCTTGGTGTCATTGGAGCGGTCCTGTTTCCTGGTGACCACAGAGGCAGCGGGGAGTCAGACGTGGCTCCGGCAGAGAGGCAGCCAGCCTCAGATCAAGGTGAGTGTCTTCCTCTGCCCCCATCTGGGGACCCCTCGGGGAACTGGACATCCCGGGACCAAAGCCAGCCTGGGGATGACACTCTGGGGCAGAAGGTTTATATCCCAGGCTTGATTTCCCTGCGTGCACACTGTGGGGTTGAGTCCTGTGCTTGGGGAGTGTGGGTCCAGCCAAAGGTGAGGGTCCGGCCCTCACCTGGAGCCTGCCTCATGCTGATGTGGGGAGGGCGTTGTGGCTGCGTAACCCAGAAAGGCTTGGACTGGGCGTGGAGGGGTAACTGCCCGGAGCCCCCGTGACTGTCACCACCAATAGGAAGGAAAGGAAAGAGACCCGGTCTGGTCCTGCATCTGCTTGGGCTATGCTGAGTCACCTTGCGGGTGGCCCTGCCCTCTCTGAGCTTAGGCCTCCCTATTGTCCACCTTCCAGACTGGAGCTGGGAGGCTCAGGCCACAGCGAGATGTCCTCAGCACCACCTGACCTTGGACTTGAGGTGTTTAGCTGCCCGCAATCTCCACTATGGGCCAGTGGGCACCCACCTTGAAGGGCCTATGTCGGGGACCCCAGGAGGGTAATGACGATGGCTGGATGGGTGTTAGCTTTGCACCAGTGCGCCCTCCCCGCCATGCTGGGGACTTTCCTCGTAGCACACACAGGAGCCACAGAGCAGCCTGTGAAGGAGGAAGCATTGGTATCATTTTCGTAGGAAATTTGAGGCCCAGCAAGGGGTGTCCACAGCAAGGAAGTGGCAGAGCTGGACTTCAAGCCCATGACCCTGGCCCCAGATTCTGGCTTTCTGCAGCTCTTGTGTGTGCCCCTGCCCACACTTGACCTGCATGTTGCAGGAGTTCATTCATCAAACATTCACCTGGTGCCAAGTGCAGGGAGTTCTGGGATGACTCAGCTCAGGCATCCGGGCAAAGAGGGGCCTGCTCCTCCCAGAACCCCGGGTCCTGGTCAATAGTAAATAATTAGTAACGTACACCCGTCTCCCCCGTGTCCAGGCATTCTCTCATTCAAATTCCACAGCCGCGTGACTGTTCTCATCTGAGCTGGGCTGCTGGCTGCCAGCCAGCCTCTCTCTGGGCCTTGGTCTAACCTGGGGCTCTGCCCGTGTGTCCCCATCCTGCTGTCGCATGTCCCCTGTACCCACGAGGGGGCTGACGCTCAGAGGCGAGGCATTCACCGAGGCCGGGCGAGACGGGACCCCCAGGCACAGGAAGGCCCAGCCAGGGGCCGCTTCTGGTGTCGTGCCCTTCCTCTTGGCTGCCCTGCCCGGCCCACAGCCAGCTGTGCTTCTGGGGCGGTTCTGCAGCCACGCACAACTGGCCGCAGACGGAGCTTCCCATACGTGCTGCTGCCTCGCAGCTTGGGCACTGGGCTCTGGACACACCAGGCTGGGGCTGCTGGACAGTCCTGGAAGCTGCACATCCCCAGCCCTGCCCCGACCTTGCTGAGTGACCTTGGGCGGCACTGTCACCTCTGGGAGCCTCTGTTTTCCCACCTGCAAAATGAGGGTAACGGAGGAGTCTGCCTCCTGGGGTAGCTGACCTGAGCCAGAGACATGCTCGGGAGGAGACCCCAGTCTGCCCAGGGCCTGGCTCTTAGGGGCTCAACAGTGAAAAAGGGTGGGATGGCCCAGGGCCTGGCACCTGGCAGGTTTGAGGAAGCCCGAGCCAGGGGATTGGACATATGAATAAAGCACTGATGGGGACTACAGAGCCCCCCTGGGCAGACATCTGGGTAGGACCTGGGGGTGCCTGATTGGTGGTTGTGGGAGGCTGCGCTGCCCCCTGCTGGGTGACCTCCACCTCACAAGCTCTGGCATCAGCTTCCTGGAGTTCCGGAAAGTGCCCTGGGTGAGTGGGCTGCTGGGACAGTACTGGGCACTGGGGGTTTTCTTTGGGCAAGAATCCTAACCCCTCCCCCATTTTAAAGATAGGGAAACTGAGGCCCAGGCTCCCACTCAGGCCCAGGCGGTCTGTCTTGGCCTGGAGACCCCCTCCTGCTTTCAGCTGTTTCCCTTACCTCCCAGGGAAGCAGGAGGCTGGGAGGGAGCTTGAGGCAGGTAGCAGGTTTGTACTTGGTCAGGGGTGGGAGAGTTTGAGGGGCCCCCTTCGCTTGGGGGCCCACACTGAGAAAGGCAAACACAGAGGCCTAAACAGGTCCCACAGGCCTCAGAAGAGAGCTGTGTGCTGGTGCCTTGCCTGCCCCACCTCAGGAAAAGCCAGCGATGGGGCTGCCCAGCTTCCCCACTTTATGCGTGAGAAACTGAAGGAGATTCTGACTTTGTATAGTCAAGTGCTGGATTGAAATACAGGCCTGGGGCCCTCCCTGGTGGCGCAGCGGGTGAAAGCGCAGCACTATGAAGCCAGCCACAGCCACTTCAGCATGAGTTTGATCCCCGCCCCGGAGGTGACCCACATGGTGCGGCAGACCTCTCCTGTCTCCCCACTGCTCCCCTCAGCAGTGTATTTCATTGATCTGCCTGTTCTGCTCCCCACTCTGCCTCTGGTGAATCCTCTCGCCGCCCCTGCACCTCTGGTCTGTACCCTAGGTCAATATGCATAAATAAATAAATCTTTAAAAAAAGAACACTGGCCTGAGAGTCCCAGAGCCTGACATAGTCACCTCCCCTTCCTAGGGACCCTGGGAGACCAGTCCTGGCCTGGCTGACTTACTCCACCTCACAAACATTATGTTCCTTTACTTGAAGATATTAAATGTATTATATTCTTTTTACCCCTCCCCCAGCTCTGCAGAGGATACCACTGCTGAAATTTAGAATACTGCCCTCCAGTAATTTTTTTTCTGGGCCTATATGTATATTTACCTATATACGTAGATGAATTTGGGGGCATGGGGTTCTGGAACTTTCTTTTTTCACATAAGTAAGTCAATGTATGTTTTTGAGCCAGTCCACTGAGCTGTACCTTATTTATTTATTTTGTGCATGCGGAACTGGGGTACAGGCCAGAGGTGCAGGGGCGGTGAGAGGCTTCACCAGAGACAGAGCAGGAAGCAGAACAGCCCGACTGACAAAGTCCACTGCTGAGGGGAGCAGTGGGAGATTCAGGAGAGGTCTGCTGGATCACCTCCCAGGCTGGGATCGAACTCGTGCAGAAGCAGCTATAGTCAGCTTGCAGAGCTGCCTCCTAACCCATTGTGCCACCAGGGAGGGCTGCTGTGCTTTATTTATTTTATGGGATATGATGTCTCCATGTGGGAGCAGGCCTTGGTTTATATAAGGGATAGAAGCTGAGGTTGTTTCTAATTTTTTTCTATGTCTGACTAAGTTGCTTTGAAAACCCTGGCAGTGACTTTGCCCAAGTGTTTCCATAGCATAGTCGGGCTTCAGAGAGCACCTTCCTTCTTCCACAGAGCTCCCCCAGGAAACACGCTCCCCACCCCGCTCTGTCCACTGGCACACCTCAGCGTGAAATGGGATGTGTCATTGTCACAAGGGAGGCCCTCTAGTGGAGTCTCTTCTCTGCAAATTTGTGTCTTTGTGTGAGGAGAAATTTCTAGATGATGAGTGGACTGGGCAGGCCTGAGCTCCCCCTTCTCCCGGAAGAGTTTGTGGGTACCTCTGGTAACTTTCCAGGAGGAAGTGTGAGGTCCTCCCTCAGGCAGGCTGGCTGGCTTCTGGCCTGAGGGACAGTAGTGAAGTGTGGTTCATGTGGACATGGGGCAGCACGTGTGACCACTCGTGGCCTGAGAGCCCAGGGTCCAGTGAGCAGAAGCAGGAGCAGGAAAGGAAAGTTTTGTGCCCTGGCCTTGAAGCAAAGGAACGTGGCCCAGTTCTCTGCCCAGCCCTTGTCCCTCAGCTTCAGCTGTCCCCTTTACCCAGGCCCCCTGCTGCTATGCTTCCCAATGTTGACCGAAACACCAGGACACACACAGGTGCATTTGACTTTCAGATAAACATTGAGTACTTTTTACTGTGTGTCCCACACAATTTTTGGACACAAGTATACTTTAAAAAGTGTGTTAGTTTTCGTTCTGGAATTCAGATTCACCTGGGCAACCCCTCCTGCATCCTCAAAAAGGAGGTGGCTGTGTGATCTGGGCCCTGTCATCAGGCTGAGCCTCCGTTTCGACATCTGCCTTCCCTACAGCTCTCAGGGAGTACAGGACCCAGCGAAGAGACAGGAGCCTGGCCCCTCCCTGGGCAGTTGAGAAGGGGAACCCAGTGGGTGGGTGGAACTGGCTGGGTCTTCTGAAAGGTGAGGAGGCCCTAGGGAGCCCCTGGTCTCTCCCTGTAGATAACCCAGGCCCGGGAGAGGGTCTTTTCCTATTTACTCAGAAAATGATTTCACGATGAAGCCCAAATAGGCATAAAAACAAAGAACTAATGAACACACCTATCCCCACCACTTGGCTAATTAAAACAGAGGCAGGCAGTAGAACCTTCTAGAACCTTCTCACTGCCAGCCCTCCCCACCTCTCTCTGCCTTGGCTTCGCCAACTGTCTCTGCGGGCAAACCCTGCCACGTGTCTGTCTGTGTTTCGGTCTCTCTCTCCTTGACACGACCCTGCTGGAGGACCACAGAGCTGGTGAAGGCAGGTCCCAGTGTTACAGGCTATCCCTTAACTCTGCAGGTGAAGGCTGGTAAGCAGCGGTGAGGGCTCCCTGGGGCAGCCCCCTGAAGCCTGCCCCACTCTGTAGCCCCCACAGGTGCCTGAGATGCCGCCCCAGAAGAAGCGCTGGGAGTCCATGGCCAAGGGGCTGGTTCTGGGAGCGCTCTTCACCACCTTCCTGCTGCTTCTCTACTCCTACGCCGTGCCCCCGCTCCATGCTGGCCTGGCCTCCACGTGAGTGGCCCTGCTGGGCTGTGGTAGGAAGGGGCTCCTCCCACCCCAATGATCTCGGTACCTCTGGGTGGCGACCCTACGCATGTACCAAGATGAGCTGGGCTGAGTCCGCGGAGGGCAGAACTCACGTGTAACCCTGGGCTTCAGTGTCCTGATCTGTGAAGTGGACATAACGGCCCACTGCAGAGAGCCTGAGAATCAAGTAACACCGTCTGTGTAGGCCTGGCGTCATCATCCGAGGCTTCAACAGGGCTGGGAGGTCTAAGGGGTGGCACATTGCTACCTGTTCAGCTGCCACCGGGCCTGGATTCAGGCTCTCAGCCTTCCAAGTCTGGTTCCTGACCATGAGGCTGACCACTCCCTCACCGGGCTGCTCAGCTCGGGCCTGGCACAGCCTGGTGCTTCGTGGGTGGTATTAAATTGAACCGGAGGCAACTGCCAGTGACTGATCATTTTGGGCCTGGGAAATTTTATGTGGCCCAAGCCAATGTTAATTCAGGATAGGTGCTGGATGCAGTGGCTACGGATGAGACCAGTGCCTGCAGGCTGGTGTCACTCTGACCACACAAAGGGCCTGCTGTTTACTTCATTTCACAGATGAGGAAAATGAGGCCCAGCCACCACCACCAGGTGATGCAGCCTGCCCCCCACCGCACCCCCGCCCCCCAATCTGGTCATGTTCTGGCTCCTCCACTACCCCCAGCCTCTAGCTGCCAGGGCCGGGATGGGGGTTCTGAGTCTCCCAGACACTCCCCACCCCCGGTCTCCAGCAGGACCCCGGAAGGCACAGCGCCCTGCTCCCCGGCCCCGGCTGAGCCAGAGGCGGCGGTGACATCCAATGGCTCGGAAAGGGGGTGCCAGCCGCGGCGGGACATCGTGTTCATGAAGACGCACAAGACGGCCAGCAGCACGCTGCTCAACATCCTGTTCCGCTTCGGCCAGAAGCACGGGCTCAAGTTCGCGTTCCCCAACGGGCGCAACGACTTCGACTACCCAGCCTTCTTCGCGCGCAGCCTGGTGCAGGACTACCGCCCCGGGGCCTGCTTCAACATCATCTGCAACCACATGCGCTTCCACTACGAGGAGGTGCGGGGCCTGGTGCCGCCCGACGCCACCTTCATCACCGTGCTCCGCGACCCCGCCCGCCTCTTCGAGTCCTCCTTCCACTACTTCGGGTCGGTGGTGCCCTTCACGTGGAAGCTGTCGGGCCACGACAAGCTGGCGGAGTTCCTCCAGGACCCGGACCGCTACTACGACCCCAACGGCTACAACGCGCACTACCTCCGCAACCTGCTCTTCTTCGACCTGGGCTACGACAGCGGCCTGGATCCCAGCAGCCCGCAGGTGCAGGAGCACATCCTGGAGGTCGAGCGCCGCTTCCACCTGGTGCTGCTGCAGGAGTACTTCGACGAGTCGCTGGTGCTGCTCAAGGAGCTGCTGTGCTGGGAGCTGGAGGACGTGCTGTACTTCAAGCTCAACGCGCGCCGCGCCTCCGCCGTGCCGCGCCTCTCGGGCGAGCTGTACCGGCGCGCCACGGCCTGGAATGTGCTGGACGCGCGCCTCTACCGCCACTTCAACGCCAGCTTCTGGCGCAAGGTGGAGGCGTTTGGGCGGGCGCGCATGGCCCGCGAGGTGGCAGCGCTCCGCCGCGCCAACGAGCGCATGCGGCGCATTTGCATCGACGGGGGCCAGGCGGTGGACGCCACGGCCATCCAGGACTCGGCCATGCAGCCCTGGCAGCCGCTGGGCGCCAAGTCCATCCTGGGCTACAACCTCAAGAAGAGCATCGGGCAGCAGCACGAGCAGCTCTGTCGTCGCATGCTCACCCCCGAGATCCAGTACCTGATGGACCTGGGCGTCAACCTGTGGGTCACCAGGCTCTGGAAGTTCATCCGGGACTTTCTGCAGTGGTGACATCCTGCCTGCCCAGCGGCACCCCCGCCGGCCCGTTGGCCGAGGAGGAGCCGCGTGGGGCCCCCCCGCAGGCCTCCCTCTTGCCCCTCCTGGTGCTACTCTGTCCCCCCGGGGTGAGGGGAGTCGCCGCGGGCGTGCAGCCAGCCAGGACTGGGCCCCCAACACGCAGAGAGGGTCTGACTAATTATACTTTTTTTAAATTAAAATTCCCTCCCTTCAAAAAAAGAATGTTCTATTTCCTGCCTCCCCTTAAAGGGGAGGCCATAGAAATAAAGGAATTTGATGTGTTTTTGTTAATTGGTCTCACTGATGGTGACTGCTGGGCTCCCGGAAGGGGCAGCGGGCCCCAAGAGCGCACGGGGGTGTCAGTGTGGGTGTGGGGGGCGGGCAGGCCAGCGTGCAGGTGTGGCGGGGGTTGGTGTGCAGCTCCATCTGGAGAGCTACAGAGCGGAGTGGTTTGTCTCCCGCGCGCGGCGGCCTGGTCCGGAGGATGATGCCGGTGGCGGTCTCCAGCACAGCACGAGACCGTGTGCCTGCCGCAGGCTTGCGTCTTCCGTCTTCCGCGTATCTCAAGCCGTCGTCATCAGCATTCAGGTGCATGGGGCCGCATCATCTCACTAGCGATGAGGAATCATCTCTCTCACAATGGGCGAAGATCGCACAGCCCGTCGGTGGTAGGACTGAAGCAGGCCCGGGCAGGCGGAGGGTGTAGCAACATCGTGTGTGTGTACACACGCATATAGGTATATATACACACCCATACGCACACAGATGGGGCCCCCCAAGGTCCCTGGCAAGACGTATTGGGTCCAGAATTGAACCATCTCCCCTTCCATCTCCTGTGCCTGCCCCTTTCTGCCTGCCCTCTCCCGTCCACTGACCACTCCAGGCTGCCCCTCTCTCCGGGGTACGTCAACACCCCTGGGCTTGGGCTTCTCCCTTCTACCCTGGGATTCAGTTTCACATAGACATTATTTGTGCCCCCCAACCCTCAGCTGGCCCTGAGCATGTGGCCACCAGCATGCTGACCTGGGCGCTCCTGGAGCAAATGTCCAGCCGGGCAGATGGTGGCCAGGCAACCAGTAGGTGTGACGACAGGGTGGGTTCCCAAGCTCAGACACATTGCGTGACCTGCCTCGGTGATCAATTGACTAGTTAGGGCCAAGGCCAAACTTCAGAACCACATCAGTCAACTCTTAATGCCTCCCTGTGGGCGAGGAGATTCTTCCTCCTGAGACTGAGCATCTGTCCCGGGCAGGGTGGGGAGGACTTAGGGTGACCGACAGCCCCATCTTCTGGGACTAAAAGTTCTCCCACCTCAGGAAACTCCTTCATCCCTGGCAACCAGGACTATTGGTCAGACTGGGGAATGTTTACCCATGCCCACCCTCGACCCCCAAGGGGCCTAGAGATGCTATTATTATCATCAGTACTATTATTATTATTTGGGGGCCTCCTTAAGGATCTAAGGGGAATAAATCTGGCAGATGGTAGATGCCACAAATATAAATTATTTCATTTGCTTTTATGATCTGCCTAGTTTGTTTTTCGATTATTAGTTTGAGACCTCCCTGGTGGTGCAGCTGGTTAGAGGCAGCACTGCGAGCTCGCCACAGCCACTTCAGTGCGAACTTGATCCCAGCCCCGGTGGTGACCCACATGGCGCGGCAGACCTCTCCTGACCGCCCGCTGCTCCCCTCAGCAGTGTACTTGTCAGTCAGCCTGTCCTGCTCCCCACTCTGTCACTGGGGAAGTCTCTTACCGCCCCTGCACCTCTGGCCAGTTGTGTATGCACAAATAAAAAAATCTTTAAAAAAGAATTATTAGTTATTAACTCACTTCTTAACATCGTTCATATTTTAAAACTAAGTGGTCACAGTGCTGAGAAGCCACTCCACCCAGCCCTGTGCCGCTTGGGAAACATACACTTCCGATAAGGGGGCGGCAGAGACGTGGAGAGGCTGACCCAGACAGGCAGGATGCGCCCCGCTGGCCAGCGCCAAGGCTGGTGCTCACAGCCAGGGCGGGTCTGGGCGCCCTCCTGCTGGGCCACCTCAGCTCAGGACTGAGGTCTCTGTGGCAGGAAAGAATGAGGTCTGCAAGGCCTGTGGCCTGCTCTTGCTACACCCGGGCAGCAGAGGGTGTCATGGTGCTGCGTCTGGCTTTGGCTGGTCTAACATGTCTGGTGTGGGCTGGCATCTGTCTGGGTGTGTGGGGGGCGGGGGGGGGAAGGGGGGGAGGGGGAGGGGGGGGGGGGGGGGGGGGGGGGGGGGGGGGGGGGGGGGGGGGGGGGGGGGGGGGGGGGGGGGCGGGGGGGGGAAGGGGAGATATCTTGGAGACCAAGCATCAGTATTCCTGATCCATGAAAGCAGGAAGGAGAAAGTTCAGTGGAATTAAATGTTACAGGTTGAACTGTAACCCTAAAAAAGACAAATTGAAGTCCTTGGCCTCTGCTTTCTGTGACTGGGAACTTATTTGGAAATTGGCTCTCTGCAGTGTCATCAGCTAAGATAAGATCCACAGGGTGGGCCTTAATCCATTTGGCTGGTGTCCTGTGACAAGAAATGCTGGGTCCTCCTTGGTGGCACAACGGGTTAAAGCACAGCACCATGAAGCTGTCTGCAGCCGCTGCAGTGTGAGTTCTATCCCCGGCCAGGGAGCTTTACCACATGGCCCAGCAGACCTCTCCTGACCCGCCTGCTGCTCCCCTCAGCAGTGTACTTCGTCGATCTGCTTGTTCTGCTCCCCACTCTGTCTCTGGTGAATCCTCTCACTGCCCCTGCACCTCTGGCCTGTACCCCAGTTCTGTATGCACAGATAAATAAATCTTTAAAAAGAAAAAAGAAAGAAAGAAATGCCACTGAGGAAGACCAGCAAGACTGGCTTTATGCAGCTAAGGCACACCAAGGCTCAGGGCCTCCTCCAAGACTTAGGAAGAGGCAGGGGAGGATTCTACCAGACCTCAGAGGGCCTCGGCTCTTCTGACACCTTGACCTCAGTCTTCTAGCCTCCTGGTGTTTTGTGATGGCAGTCCCAGGACACTAGGACATGCCCCTGGGTCAGCTTCTGCCACCCACCTGGACCCACTTCTCCCCACCTGCAGCCAGAGGCCAGAGCCTATCCTCTGCTCCAAGCCCTAGTGCCCTCTCCAAGACCCCACATGCCTCGATGGCTTCATACCAGCTGTCACCCCACACTGTTCTCAACACTCAACCACCCAAGGAGAAAGAACGTGCATTCTTCTACTCAACCCTAGAGAGAGACCTGGGAAGGCCCCTTCCCTCTGCAGGCCTGTCACAGGGTGTTTGTGAGCCAGCACCAACATTTCCTCTGAGTCTCCCCGATAGCCCAGTGCCCAGGCCCCTTTAGGGCCTCCTGGCTCCTCAATCTCAGTTCTGCTCACCCAGGGCCAGACTGTGGATTGGGCTGTGCACTGGGCCCTTTTTCAGCATGTCCTCTGATTCCTGTAGGTCGAGGCTCTGCACTCAGCACAGCGACAGCCTGCAGGTTGGTTCTGGGTATCTGGTTGGTTCCTAGAGGCTGGTTCTGGGTATCTGGGGTATCTGTCATATATGGGGTCCGTCGTCTACTGAAAGGTAAACAACCCAGAGTCTGGTGCAGAATAATGTCCCAGCGATGGTAGTTACTGGTGTTAACTCTTGAAGCAGCCACCTCCAAGGTGGCAGAAGCAACCCTCACCTCTCCTGCTTGTACCCTGACTCGGTCCCCTCCCGCAGGGCTGACTGGTGTAACCTATCGCACAGTACTGGGATGATGGACTGTGACTGACAGGGCTTGGTCATAAAGACCGTGGCGTCCTCTTTGCTCTCTTGGGTCACTTGCTCTAGGGAAACCCAGTGCAAGTGCCATGTTGTCAGGACACTCAAGTGTCCTCTGTCGGTCCCTGTAGGGAGGAACTGAGGCCTGCTGCCAACACCCAGGCCCTGCCAGATACACAAGACATTTCAGGAGCAGATTCCCTTGTGACTTAAGTCTTCAGATGGATGCAGCCCTGGCTGACATCATGACTTTAATAGCATGAGAGACTCTAAGCCAAAACCACACGACTAAGTCACTATAAACTCCCGACCATCATAAATGTTTATGGTTATTTTAAACAGCTGTGTTTTACAGTCATTTGTCATGCAGAAACAGACTCAGAGTGCTCTCCTCTTAATCTCTACCCCACTCCCTCTCTACCCTCACCTTAGAGTCGGCACAGGCGGGAGTAGTCATCTGGACTGGGAAGGACACCCATCCTGGATGTTCTCCCAGAGCTAAGGACAGATGGGTGAGACCTGGGTGGCAGGGCTCCATAGCGCACTGATGTCACCAGGAGACTGATTGGCCAGCACCCACCCAGGCAGAAGGTCTCATCTGCCGTTAGGAGAGGGGATGTCAGCATGCAAGGAGCACACCAGCCTGGGGGACGCAGGCTCTGGGCCAAGGATAGGAGTTCTTGTCTTTCTCTAGGATAAAAAGGAGCCAGCTGCAAAACTTCAGAGAGGATTAAATGCCACAGCACTTTGTGAGCCTGATTCTCCCCTCAAAACTTTGGGGGGCAAGAACCTGATCAACACTCTGATCTCCCTGGTGGTGCAAGGGAGATGCAGGTGGTGCAAGTTTTAGCCCAATGAAGCTATTGGCTGCCACAGTCGCATGAGTTTGACCCCCGGCCAGGGAGGTGACCCACAGGGCACAGCAGACCTCTCCTGTCTTACCTGCTGCTCCCCTCAGCAGTGTGCTTCAGTACATCTGCCTGTTCTGCTCCCCACTCTGTCTCTGGTGAATTCTCTCACCCCCAGCTCTTGTATGAATAAATGAATAAATAATAAATCTTAAAAAAAGAAGGTGACCATGGGGTATAGGATTTCAGGTTGGGAGACTCATTTCCCAGCAAATAAAACAAATCAGAAAAGACCTTCCAGAAGAGGAGGCATTTGCACTAGATCTGAAGGGAGCCGGGCTGGCTGCTAGGTATCACAAGGAAGGGTGTTCCAGGCACAAGAAAAAGGTGACTGGGGCTGCTGGAGAGGTAAGGACTAGAATAAGGGAAGATAACAGGAGAAATAAACTCAGGAAGTGTTAGAGGGCAGGGAGAGAGGGGCACTGAACCCCCAAACCTGCTTGTTCTGAATAGGCTCTGCCACTTACCGCATCAAGACATAAGACCTTTAGCGGAAAGGAACTTTAATACAATCAATGCACAATATGGAAAAGACAACAAACATTTCTAAATCGGACACCTGAAGTTACCTGTCTACCCAACAGGGATTGGTCCAAAGCAAGGC